GTTCAAGTTATTCATGTGAAGAAGCTTTGACGTGATTATGGCCGCACGACGAGAATTAACAGACTTTGAACGCGGAATGGTAGTTGGAGCTAGATGCATGGATCATTCCATTTCGGATATCGTTAGGGAATTTAACATTCCGAGATCCACAGTGTCAAGAGTGTGCCGAGAGTATCTAATTTCAGGCATAACATCCCACCATGGACAGCGCAGTGGCCTACCACCTGCACTTAATGACCGAGACCAGCGACGTCTGCGTAGAGTTGTCAATGTTCACAGACAAGCAACACTGCGTCAAATAATGCAGAAATCAATGTGGGACGTACGAGGGACGTGTCCGATAGGACAGTGCGGCGAAATTTTTCTTTTTTGGGCTATGCCAGCAGAAGACCGGCTCGAGTGCCTTTACTGACAGCACGACATCGCCTGCAGCGACTCTCGTGGGCTCGTGAGCATATCGGTTGGTCCCTAAACGAATGGAAAACCGTGGCTTGGTTAAATGAGTCACGATTTCAATTGGTAACAGCTGATGGTAGGGTTCGAATGTGGCGCAGACCCCACGAAGCCATGGACCCAAGTTGTCAACAAGGCACTGTTCAAGCTGGTGGTGGTTCCATAATGGTCTGGGCTGTTTTTACATGGCATGGACTCGGTCCTCTGGTGCAACTGAACCGATCATTGACTGGAAATGGATACCTTCAGCTACTTTGAGATCACTTACAGCCATTCATGGACTTCACGTACTCAAACAACGATGGGATTTTTATGGATGACAATGCGCCATGTCACCGGGCCACAATTGTTCGCGATTGGTTAGAAGAACATTCTGGACAATTCCAGCGAATGATCTGGCCACCTAGATCGCCCGACATGAATCCCATCGAACTTTTATGGGACATCATCGAGGTCAGTTCGTGCCCAAAACCCTGCACCGTCAACACTTTCACAATTATGGATGTCTATAGAGGCAGCATGGCTCAATTTTCCTGCAGGGGACTTCCAACGACTTGTTGAGTCCATGCCACGTCGAGTTGCTGCACTTCACCGAACAAAAGGAGGACCGACAAAATATTAGGAGGTATCCCATGACTTTTGTCACTTCAGTGTATGTTTTAACCAATAACCTCTAGTCTGCTCATAATTCTCGAATCTGTTGCGGCAATATTTAAACCAATTTTATTCCCTTGTATCTTTCTTATATAGTAAGCCTTAAGTTCAGTGGGCATACATAAATTTTGGGATTGAAAAGAGTTGGACGACTTAACAGAAAATATACCCAGTGCAGTAATATTAGTCGCTTGTCGCCAGTGGCCGAATCACTACACCCACTAAGCAGTTTTCTACAAAATGTTCTCATCAACGTTACCCATGAACCATTTTTAAGTTAAATGTTATGTCTCTATCTCTTATAACGGTGTTCTTGTTTTCAAAGTAAGCAACAGAAGTAAAAAATTTTTTAAGTGTGTAACATTTGTTTGATTTTTATTTACAGAAATAACTAAGAGATATGTTTCTTATGTTAAAAAACATTTTATAAAAAGACAGGAATAAGCACATAAAACACCAGGACTTCACCATATGGTGATACAAGTACTGTCTCTCTAAATAACCGATCAAATGTAACATCCTACAGAAGGCTCCATGCTATCTTTCCAAAAATATTCATAGCAGTTGTACCGACATTAGGTATATTTTTGAAAGCAGGAAAGATGAAAAATAGCAACCGCCTTCGCCGGGAGTCGAACCATGGATCTCTGGAATACCGGCCCAGCGTGCAGAACCACTACACCACGATGGCACGCTAGGAAAGCGGGAGAAATACCTTATATACTCCCCTTTTTAAAGGCCGACTGGGATTTTTAATCCTGGGTGTAAGAGTCATCATCCACAACCCATTTAGTTCGGGCGCCACTGTAGATACATTAGGATTTTTTTGTGAAAGCAGGAAAGATTAAAAATAGCAACCACCTCGCCGGGAATCGAACCACGGACCTCTGGAATACCGTCCCAGCGTGCAGAACCACTACACCACGAAGGCACGCTAGGAAAGCGGGATAAATACCTTATACAGTATTACTATTTTGCTAGACACTTACACTAGGACCGAAGACTTATTTTGCAATAATTATTGCCCATATACTTTAAACTATTTACGAAAGTTATTTTTTTAAATTTTATTATGAAGTTTTGGGTATTTCTAAAATAATTGTCGGATTTGACTTCATTCGCATATGATTTAACACTGTGATGTTAAATTAACTAAATAAACGCTTGTGTTAATGGACATGAGAATAGGTAGTACTCGGGAATGCTCCTCTTGCAGCACACGCAGTTGCATGAGAAAGAGAAATTTCTCGCATTGTAATAGGTGGAGAAGGGCCCGAGTCCAGATATGAGTCAACGAGTCAAACGAGGGGGTAATGAGACATTCTTTCTCATTTATTACTTCGATTAATTCATGTGTTCTATCTTACGAGAATTTGCGGATTTCGGTTTATACCCGAGTAATCCTTATATCCGGGCGGAAGTCGCCCGGGTGTCCGGACCCGCTGCCACCTGGCACTTGCCTTGAAGAGAAAGCCGCTCAGCCAGTAGTGAGGCTGACTGCGGTACTGATGGGCCCAGGTTCGAACCCTCAACAAGGCGTGGATATTTGTAAGCGTATAGTGTTTCTGGGGCAACGGGGCCATCAAAATACAAGTCCATCCGAAATTCCTCTAGAGAGATTGATAGTACGGGAAGATGGGTGACAAATCCTTGGACCCGTCCTCCGAGGCTCTGTTATTCAAAATTGGGGAGGAACTGCACAGTTAATGTGGCGGGACTAAATTTACATGACCAAATAGTGAATTTCTGGTGTCTCGCCCACGTTTACTTGTACTTCTTTGACCAGAACCATAACTTAATCAAAGTAATAAACATGAAAAGACGCCTCATTAACCCCTGTTTGGATCAGCTTCACTTGGGTTAAGCTACCCGATCGGTATAACGATTGGCGCTGCTGGCTGCTGTAACGAAACGCCCGGTTCGAATCCCAGAAATAACATGGATGTTTGTAAGTTTATAGATCTCCACTTATACTTACCTGCATTGGGGGACACAGAGTACCTTTCGTTTTCCCAAATATGATTTATTATTTTGAGTGCTTTTTTTAGGTATGACTTTTTTTAGTATGAAAATGGTATACTGGCAATTTAATGCTTATAATTCCAGAATTGGGTGCAGACACAGCTGATGATAGAAAAGATAATTCCCTAAGCCTCTGTTCTTTCAGTATATGAAAGCTGAAAATTAAATTTCTTTCTGTGAACATTCTAAGAATTTGTAAGTTTTACAAAATGTGAAACACAAACAGACATTAAATATATTATTCTGGAATCCAAAAATTCGTGGAAAGCCATTTCGACCATTCCCACTTTAATCAGCTGAGATATTAATTAAAAACTCTGAAAACGCTGATTTTTTTAACTCATTTTGGTCTTGCAGCAACAGTTTCATGCGTTGTTTTGATGAACTCAAGAGAAACACTGAAGGGAACCAGATTTTCCAGCTGAACAACGTCTTCAGTTTTGACATACGCGTGGAGAAATATAACCCGAAGAAAAGGTCTGTGTAATGATTTCTTTGCCAGGCCTTCGGACACACGCAACATCTATGCAATAATACGGAAAGATGCGTCAAGTGCGGAGGACTTCATAGGAGCAATATATGCTCGAAGAGACCTGAGGAAAAGCCATGCTGCATGTTTTGCGAAGGGGAGCATGTAAGCAGTTTCCGTGGTTGCGCGGAATACAAGAAGAGGTTTGAAAAAGGAGGACAGCCCAGAACCTAGAGGAAACCACCCCCAGATGTCACCCAAGAAAATTTTCCTGAGTTGACAACGGCAAAGCCATAGCGGAGCAGAACTGCGAGTAAAGCCAGCTACAGTGAAAAGTTGAGAAGTAAGCCTGCAACGTCGCCAAATATCATGGAATGACTCTTATCCTGGTTTATTAGCCCGGATATTCAAGAACTGTTTAAAGTCTTCTCTGAAATTTTTAGTTTCCTTCGAAATATGAACCTAGCTGAGAAACTTCGTCATTTGCTCCAAACTGTACAGAAAATTACGCAGATGACCTGTGAGTAATTCCTTCATGCAAGTTAACGCTTTCATCTTAAATTACTTTCTCATTTTCTCGTTCGCGGATAATACTCAGGTTATTTCTCAAGATTCGAAAGCTTTTTTTTGTTCTACAAAGGGTAGGGTATCGGAACCCAGGTACCCTGGTGTTTGGACACCATTCCACTGGATCTCTCGCGTTGGAGATAAAAATGCTTTATCTTGAAAAGTGTTGCTACTGCTCGCTTTCAAATCATAGAGCCTGTTAATAAAAAATTTGTAAGTTTTACAAAATCTGAAATAAAATAGCATTGCCAAACATTAAATGCCTTATTATTATATAATGTCATATCCTGACGTTGAAGAAAGCCCACGATTGCATGTGACATCATTTGAAGACGATAATGTTTCGGTTATATCTGCATTTTAAATAAATAGCTGCTATTGGAACTTTTTTGTTTCAGGTTACGATAGTTGGATACGATATGTTATTATCACATTAATTCTTTTATTAATATTAGGAAAAATCTGTTATATTACATTAAATTTAAATCATGATGTCATACGTGATCTGAAATGCTTTTATTTTCTTCTTTGGCAACAAATAATTATTTACGAATTGGCTGTTGCTTGGAAAGAATAAACTGATTTCAGTCACACTGAAATGTTTTTATGCGTTTTGTTTTCAGGTGTACATAGTACTTATAAATTTTGCTTTGGTTACGACTTGCAACTTTGTGTGCAGTACATTAAATTAATAATTCATTTTATTTACAGTTTTTAGTGCATTTTAAAAATTTTATTTAAACATATTTACTTTCTTTTATTACATATTTTCTTTATGAGTATAGTTTAAACTTTTGCAGATATTTAATGTAGTTTTGTTGAATTATTATTTTAGTATAGTGTTATTTGTTTTTAAATTTATTAAAATGCTAAAAGGCAAAAGAGGCATTACGGGAGATGCATTAAGAAGATAAAGAGCTGAAGCACAAAGGTTACAAAAAGCTTCAGAAAAGGAAGAAGAAACCACTAGGAGACTGAGAAGGCAAGCACAACGACAAGAAAATTTGTCAATTAAAAGAAACTGAAGAAGAAACGGCTAGGAGACTCAGCAGGCAGGCACATCCACAAGAAAACTTACGCGCTCAAGAAAGTGAAGAAGAAACCAATAGCACGATCAGCAGACAAGGAGAAATTCAAGAAACGTTTTGTGCTCAAGAAACTAAATCAGAAACGAGTAGGAGGCTCATCAGACAAATGGAATGTCAACAGAATATGCTTGATGAAGAGACAGAAGAAGCTGCAAGTAGACGAAGGACACAAATCTCAGCATCATCGTCAAATTCGAGTGAAAGAGTTAGAACAGGATGCCATTAAACGAAGAATGCAAGAAGCTTTACATAACATACAAGTCCAATCTGAAGAAACAATGGCTATTCGAGAAGACAGGTTTCGCTTGAATACAGCACGATATTCACGTGCCACTCTTCACGCAGAAAGATTTGGACTCGAAGTTTACGTTGAGCAACACAGTGTCGGTTCGATGGAAGCTTGCTGCGATTTCTATGTAATTTTATGTAATTCTAACACAATTCTATGTAATTTTAAGGAATGTGAATGCATATGCAGAAGCCTACAAGATGCTGAACAATAGCTGAAGAAAGAACTCTACGAGAACAAGGTGCTGAATCTGCTGGTGCTATCCATATATAGTACATCAAGGGCGAAAGTGTTATTACAGGTAAGTACTGATTACGTTACAACGCTCAAACGAAAATGAAGTTGCAGTTGTTTTCAAAAGTGCAGATGGAGTTCCTTGTAGGATGAGGTTAGGATTAAAATAGAGGAAGGCAGTAGCATTTTAAGGGTATTTAATGATGAAAGAATAAACATGATTATGTTATTTACAGTGTGAAAGGAAGTAAGATAAAATGTTCATCATGAAACAGAATCGCTTCATCAATCAATGTTTTCGAGAGGCATGGTTCAGCTCCATCCAACGCCACGTTCTCACATCATCGGAATGCAAGTCTGTCCATTTCCCCACACAGCTTGAAGAAGTATCTCGCTGCTGTCGCTGTTGCCAGATTTAGGAAGGAGGAAGGTTGAGTTGTAGGAGCGCATTACTACACGGCCATTCTGCCTTGCCGGGCGTCCTCGCCTGGGGGTTGATCTGAAAAGAAAGAAAAAAAAAAGGCAGAGAAATCTAAGTTGTCATCATCTAAATCCAATTCTAAATCGTCATGTGCAGCATCATCATTTTCCTTACCTGTTTTCTTCAACTGAATTTCATTTTCTGTTATTTTCTGAAAATCTTCCATAGCAGTCTTAACTTCGTGTGGGTTGTGAGGATTAATGATATGTTGAATTTCTTCGAGAATTTCCGATTTTGAGATGTGTGAAAGATCAGGTGGAAATGTGCGATCATGAGTAACATTAGCAACATTAACAAAAATTTGATCATTATTATTGTTGCATAAATGAATACCATCTTTATCAAATGTAAATTGAGTTTGTTGCAAAAAGTCTATTCCAATAATGGCATCAAGAGGAATCATATAGTCTTTTACTACATGGATTTTAGCAGGTAAAATAGTGTTGTCAATTTGAATGTAGTCCTCAAAGAATCCAATACTTTGAACTGTGTCTCGGCCAAGTCCTGAGAATGTAATTCTGGAAGGATGTAATGGTGGAGAACCACTTTTGCGGTATGTTTTCTCCGTAATAAGTGTTGCTTGTGATCCAGTGTCATAGAGAGCAGTTAACTGAGTTCCTTTAAGTTGAATATCAACATGCATAGGATTTTTAGAAAATTTTGAGCAGAAAGGGCATTTACAGTACTATCAGATGTAGAAACAATTAGGAAGCAGATTCCGTGGTGGAACTACTAAGAACGTTTGGGACAGTTGGAATGAACGTGACCATAATTTTGGCAGCATAACATAACATAATTTGCCATTAGATTTATTAGGACAAGAATTGCTTTTGTGGCCTTTTCAAACCACAAGAATAACAATACTGGCTGTGTAGTGTCTGAGGTACGTTTAGCATGAATTTTAACACTGGGAAAAGAATTTGTACATTTCTTTGGAGTATTTTGCTTCAAATGTTTTGAATTGTTAAAGAGTTTTTCATAAATCTTCAGTTCTTCTTTAAATTCAGGAATGGATTTACAACCGTATAAAATTATTTTGTTGTTCGATGAATCAGGAATACCATTGATAACGTAATCAATCAAAGAAGAATCATCCAGAGAACGTGTGCGAGGTCTCTCGTAGCTAAAAAATATTCTTGTAAGGTTTCAGATGTTTTCGTGTGACGAGATTCCATTATTTTATGTAATTGAAGGCTATTAATTTTATCCGAAAATTCATCTAATAAATGGTGTTTTAATTGTTCCCAATTAGTAATTCCACGAATTGATCTTATTAATGTTAAAGCTGGACCTGTAAGACATTTTTTAACAAAAATTATTTGGTGTACAGGATTCGTGATTTCATAGAGATTAAAAATATCTTCTATGTCAGAAATAAAAGTTTCAAACGCTGTAATTATCCCGAGAGGAAAAGGTGTTTGATCAAATCAACAATGTCCTTTTAAGCCAAAACATTGAAACGGAACAGTCCTGTGTTTGCGGGTTAGTCGATACCAATAAATTTGCAGGCGCCACTTTCAAGAGAGATTTTTGCCTCTATTTGTTTACATAAAGAGTCATCTGGAAGTGTGATTAATGGCTGTTTGGGCGACGCTTGTGCGTCGAGGGTGAACTTTGCACCAAAGCCGTCTTCTTTCAAGGTCGCTGTAGTCAGCGGAATCTGATTTTAATAACGATACATCACCTAGATTCGTAATAATATTTTTAGCACACTTTGTCAATATCGGTGGAAAATTCTAAATGCAGTAAGCTACATATGGCAATTAAATTCCTGTGAGAGAAAATTCTGTTGATAATTTTTTGTTTCGTTTCTTCAAAATTAAATGGTTTGGGAAAACCAGAAAAATTGCGTAACCTAGCACGATTCTGCCGATCACCATCTGAGCCAAAAACTAAACGATGTAAAAGCTTGATATGCTTGGTACTGGCGGTTTTTAATAACTGTGCAATGTTGGGATAATCGTTAAGTGTAGCCATTATTTATTAGTTTTGTTTTTACCAAATATGAAATTCCACAAAATATGTATGTTTCGATTTCATCAAATATTATTTGGTATTAAATATTTATCAGAAATTAGCATACCAAATTCTTAATTTTTCTTATTCTTCAAAATAATATTAATTCTTCTTAGTATATTACACAATAACTATGATGTTAAAACACTCAAAAATCATAAATGAAATTGTGAACATATGATTCAAACAAATGGTAAAATATATCATCAAACAAATCTTCTTATAAGACTATGTTAAGAATGGAAAATAGAATTTCACGTTAAAATATGATATCAAAATTAATAACTTTAAATAATATTGTACAGTCCTTGTAAAATATAGGCATCACAAGAAATAAGAAATTTATGCCCCAAATTCGAAAACAAAAAAAGTACTTCTTCAAAGTAACTTTTTTAATACATCACAATTCTGTAAATAGTCAGTAATGGATTTTCATCAATGTCAAATACCTGTAGTTTATTCAATTAAACTTCATCAAAGCTGTTTAATTAATTATCATCAACATCAAATTCGAAAACGGAAGTGTGAATTCTTCAAAGTAATAATCATTCAAAAATAAAATGAATTTTCATCAACATCAAATGCCTTTCGCTTCATCAAATAAACTTCATAAAAAAGCGTCATCAAATATTCATAATAATTTGAAAGAATATTACTTCCTCATTAGCATTACTTCATGAAATAAAATTAGCTCTACTTACGCGCTGACGAATCACAACAACTGGGATCTTGCGATATTATTCCATAGTAGTACATCATTTATAGGTATATTCGATATGTTATATGGTAGTCTAGGGGATTTAAAAGGCTGAAGAGAAGAACAGAATTTAGTTCAAGGAGTCGAAAGAGTTCGTGGGGCCGAGCCCCCATGTAGGATGAGGTTAGGATTAAAATAGAGGAAGGCAGTAGCATTTTAAGGGTATTTAATGATGAAAGAATAAACATGATTATGTTATTTACAGTGTGAAAGGAAGTAAGATAAAAAGTTCATTATGAAACAGAATCGCTTCATCAATCAATGCTCTCGAGCGGCATGGTTCAGCTCCATCCAACGCCACGTTCTCACATCATCGGAATGCAAGTCTGTCCATTTCCTCACACAGCTTGAAGAAGTATCTCGCTGCTGTCGCTGTTGCCAGATTTAGGAAGGAGAAAGGTTGAGTTGTAGGAGCGCATTACCATATATATATATATATATATATATATGAACAAAAGTTGAGAAATTTCACATTAAGATCATATATTCTATTAAAGCTGGGCAGTATGCTACGAAATTAACTAAATAATAAAGATCAAATTTCAACGATAAATTTTCCAGTCTTTATGCTCTCCCAAAATTTTATAAAACACAAATGAGTTTCAGATTTATTTCCAATGGTACAAAAATTAAAGAAAATAACACAAACTTTATTTTTTGAAAAAAAATTAAAAAAGGTTTGCTTTCCCAGTGCCCCTGATTCCAATCTACCCCTAACCATTACTGGATCATTAAAAATAATAAAACAATTATCAAAACAGTTGAAAATTATGATATTTAGGATATTAGGATTTTGAAAATACTATAAATCTCTCTTCCTTTAAAAGAGATTTATTATAGTTTTATCAAGTTTTGCGAATTATTTCCAGCGCCTAACTTAAATGTTTCCTTTTTCAAAATTTTATTAAATTTAATAACAAAATATTCTTACAAATCAACGGCATTCCCTTGGGTACCAACTACGCAACTTTATTTGCAATCTTTTTCTTTTTTGTACAAGAATTGAGTTTTATGAAAATTTATGATCAAATAGATAAGTTGAATCATATTTTTAAATGCATTCATGCCTTTGATAAACTCCGAGTTAATTGAAACAGCTAATATTTATCCTAAATGTTAAAACTTAATAAAATCAATTCTAAGAATAACGAAATTAATTATCTTGGCCATTAAATCCTCAACTGTGTTGTAATTAAACATTATGATAAAAAAGACTTTTTAATTTACTATTATTAAGCTGAAATTCCAATATTTTCAAACATTTATTAATTAACACAGTTATCAAACAAAATAAAAAATATTAATCTAAGAATTAATTTTTCACAATTTGCACTCGTTTTATATCTGGCATATAGAAAGTGATAAATGATTCCTCATGGGCCTAATATCTGAAAATTAAAAATATTTACACTACAATTGGAGATATTAATCAGTAATTGTGATATCTAAAAATTACACTTATTAATAACCAAGTTCCACTCAATTTTAAGTTACCTCTCCAAAAATTACTCTCTAGTTCATTTAATTTTAATTTGTTGTTACTTACGATAGGATTTGCTTAAGACAAGTTTGGAGGTATTTCCTGGATGCATAACAATTACAAATATTCCTGTAAATTTGCAAATAGTCACTTTATCTCTATTACTGACAAATGGCAATTTCTGTTCCAGTCCTATTATACACCAAATAGGGAAAAAATTTTTCCTTTTCAAAACATTGTCTATTCCACATTACACAATTTCCTCAAAGTTCTATTTTACGAACACTTTAAAATTATTTTAAATACACTTAACATTAATTTACTTTCATTAATTAAATTAAAAAATTAAATTTTATTCCACAGTTTTCATAATTTAAAAATATTTTTAAAAATTAATTTAAATAATTATCAAATTATTCACACGAAATTAATGCCAATTAAATTTCTAATTTTACATTAAGTTTACAATCTCGAACAATTTCAGTTTTCAATTTTAAGAACTAAATGCTTGCACCTCGCCTCAATTCTCGCTTTTTCTATTTACTCAAGCTACCCTGATGCAACTCAATTCGACTCTTTCTTTAAGACTGCATTCTCCAGGGTTACTTAGTAAATACCCCTGTGGGTATTTTGCTTCGTTCGGGTTCCCTTTTTAGTTCCTTGTACGAAATAGAGAAATTTTTGTAATCTCAAAAAAATTCCGGTTTCATACTTCAGTATAAATATCCATTTCGACCATTCCGGACACCTTTGGACTATTTTTTTCGCAGGGCGTCTGAATGTAGGGACAGAATAAAGGACTTTTGTTTTCTAAAGAGGATTGTAAAATTAATTTAAAATGGATTCCAAAGGGTTTTGGTGACGTCTGTACGTACGTACATACGTATATATATATATATATGTCATAATTAAAAGCACAAGGAAAAGACGGAGCAGTGTAGATGCGTGATTAGATCCATATTGAAGAAGAATTTTGATTGCGTAGTATTTAAAGAACTTGGCAGTCGAAGCAGTTTTAATTCCATTTTTATTTCCAATTGATATTTGTGGCCGCAATCACTTGGCACTCTAGTCGTGCCTTTCCACAGAAGATTTACATTTTTGATATTGCTGAGATAGAAAGCAAGCCAGCGAAATTACGTCTTAGCACAGTAGAGAGCAAAAGCTGAAGTGCGTAGTTATGAAAGATGAAGCACGCGAAGAGAAAAGTTTTGGTTTACAATTCGGTGATGGTCGTCAAGAGGCATCTGGTATTAACGGTTACGTAAGATCGCATGATTAATTTGAATGACGCAATGCAGATAGTTATTACGATTTTAGAAATAGGAGAGAATTAATTTATAGTTATATTATAATTCTGATTCATCATTTTTATCTTACATTTTCCCCC